CAATGAAACTACTACCACAATCAAGATAGCTAACATTTCCATCACTCCCCAAGAGATGCAATTTTCGAATTTCCAATTTATCCCTTCTGACCCCCCTTTACCCCTGGTAACCATCTTTGTATCCTTGGATGTGTACATTTTTGTTCTGCCTTCCCCATATTTTTCTTGGATGTCTGAAGTTCCAATTTCCCCATATTATGTAAGTCAAGATTTATTGCTTACAAAACTAGATCAAAGACTGTCTATTACAATGTTTGATAAATGTTAGTATCTTAGTAGTTTCCCGGGTATTACCTTTGTAATAAAATGCCTTACCTCACTGATGGAGAGCTGCTCTGTGTTCTGCATCCAAAAAAAAAAAAAAAAAAAAGAGGGCCAACATAACTTTTGTTCTCATATGAGAAAAAATTCCTTAAGATAAACTGTTTTATGAAACAAAATGGTAGAAAGTACTTGGAATTTGGGCAAGTTACTTCATTTCCTTATATTTTCTTACAGTACGATCTTTTTGTTACATGAAGATAATGATTACTATCCCCTCCCAACTTAGAGAATTGTTTTAGGAACTAAGCGAAATAATATAGGGGCAAACACTTAAGACAGGTATGTTCAATTAATTCCTTGTCACTATGGTTACTACTGTTATTTGTTACTATATTTAGACTATATTGTTTGTGATTTAATTTCTGGACTACGAGATTTTGTTCCCAATTGTTCTACTTTCTAAGTTAAAATCTGTTGGGGCATTTTGTCTCTAGATATTGTACATATCTTTACCCTGATCTCATCCCCCACCAGAAACAAACCAACAAAAATAACAAAGGACAAACTGAAAAACCAGCACTCACCACAGTGGGAATAAAGGGGTAGACCATTGTCTTGCCCTGATCCCATGGATTCATAACAATCTGACCTTGATGAAGAGCCTGGAGATACTGGAGGAATTTCCACTTCTGATAAAATTGACTGATTTTGTTCTAGAGAGAAAGAAAATTATCAAAATTTACTCCAATATTGAACCTCCTCCATGGCTCAAAAGCACATTTTGTCAGAACCAAATTACTTAGACCTTTAATTAGATAATTTAAAAATGGTGGCAAATTTACCTAACAAGGATAGTTCAGTCACATAAAATTTATTGTAACTGTTTCTACCTTTGTTAATACATAGCAAAATTAACAACATTGTCTGATTATGAAGACCTCCAGAACAGTATCTGTGTGAAAAAACAAAAATAGGTGTAAGAAAGGAAAGGGACATTTCTTGAGTTAAAAGGCAAATGTCTGTCATTTCTTTCTGGTGTGTGTAAGAAATCTGCTCTTTGGAGTCAGACAGAACTGAACTATAATTCCCTTTATCCTAAGTGTTAGAATTCATAACTTGGTCATTATGTTGTTTATGCATATTATATCATATTGCATTCTCCCTGAGCATTAGTTACCATGTAGGATTATATCTGTTAAAATATATGGCAGTGTGCTATGTCTGTCTGTCTGTCTGTCTGTCTATCACCTATCAGGCTTAATAAATATTCTAGTAAATTCCATAGCCTTCGAGCTGACTCTAAAGATCTTTTTAGAGATTAAATATAAAACTGCAGTGCCAGCTTCACTCAACAGAATGTTCATTTCATAGAGATTTGAAAATATGGGTGTGTAGAATGTCAATCGGTCTTTAGAATTTTCTGTGAGTAACCTGTTACCTTGAAGGTGGTACAAAGGGAGAGTGCTACTGGAATTATTTTGACAAAGTATAAGAATAGCTTTTAAAGCAATTATAATTTCCTAAAAACAGAGGTTTTATGTGGGGAGTTCCATATTTAAGTATTCAAAGAAAGGCAGTTTCTATTCTAAAGGTTTTAGAAGGAATGTCTGCTCTGTGTAGGGACATGGTAATAATAACTGTTATTTTTTTTTAGATGTGCCTATACTGTGTTCCAAGCATTTTTAACATAATTTATGTACATATCATCTAATGTAATTCCTCAGGGTCAATATAACTATCTTCATTTTTAGTTGAGGAAACTGTAGCTTGGAAAGGTTAAGGAATAGTTTGTGAAGTTATGATTGGAATACAAGTTGCTGACTGTAAAGCAGGTGATCTTTCCTTGTGCACCCAACAAACTTCCCTAGTCTAGAGGATGGGGTACATGACCTCCTATGTGTAGCTTGGAAACCTTTACTTTTGAGACATGTCTATGATGCTATTGGCAAAAAGACGTTGAGTGGACAAAGATGTGATATCTCAACTACACTTACACCATTTTAATTTGAAACAAATTTTCTGAGGCTTGTAACTCCTTCAAAATCATTTGGTTAATTGCCCAACACTTACTTATCTTAAACTGTAAGTCCACAAGTTTAACAAGCTAATAGCTGGAAATCAAAGTAACAAAAATAGAGAAAATATATTACTTACTGTAAATTGAGGGTAAATATCTCACTGGGGTGGAATGAGTTATGTGAACATTGGGAGAAAAAACAGCAATGATATTACGGTTTAGTTGAAATTACAATTTGTGTGAGAAATTGTGTGTAGTGCTTATCTTCCACAATGGGCTTATCTTTCTGTTAAGAAAACAAAAGCACTTGCCATAAAAATACACAAAAAGAAAATAGTGCTAGTTGGTATTAATTTCATTTCAGTTGAATGAAAATTACTTACCTCTGTGGGGACTTCAACTGATTCCTTAGGGGAAGAAAAGAAGAATGTACTTAGCTTTTGAGTTGTACTAGAGTAGAAGAGGCAATTAATTAAATCTATTTAGGGCCCAAGACACAACTACTGAGAAATCATATTTTTTTTAGGAATTCAGTAAATTAAATATTCAGAGCCCTTACTTTGTGCCAAAGCAATAACGTGTGACTGAAAATATGTTTCATTTAGAAGTTTTCATCAATTCTACATTATTCATACAATATCAAATGCCTATGGAGTGAAGGCAGGTGACAAAAAAAATTACACAGTAGGCCTGATGAGACGTGTGGCACACTAAATCCTGTGCACCTGTTCTAGAGGACACAGTGCTTATTTGTAAGAGGCCATTGGCTGCCTGTTGAAGATAAAAGAGTAAAGCAGGTTTCCTAGGTACTGAGTAGGAAGACTTCTGGCTGTGCCTCAGGACACAAGGCTCTGGACCTCGGCTGTGCTCCATCCTTTCCCAGGCGCCTTTTCCTGCCGTGCTTATTGCTTGGCTATTTCTACCACAGCATGTCTTTCTTGTTCCAGTGACCTATACGTTTTAATCCATTCCCTCAGTCACCTCCCTTAAACAAGATGGTCTCAAATTTTAAAGTGCATCAGAATGCCCAGGTGATGCTAATACTGCTAGCTGAGAAATAGCACGTGGAGAACCATTGCCCTGAGCAATACTGAGGTGTTTCAGGCTGAAACCACGTTGAAGGCAATTGGTAGGCTCTTGATTTGACTGGCTTGATTTAAAATGCACTTTCCCCTGGAGGCAGATATCTGATTTTGCTGTCAGGAGCACCAGTGCACACCATGGTATAGAGAGTCACTTTGAATCTCCCCAAAACTACATCAGGTTTGGGTAAATGATTTCTCCGGTGCTCACACTATTTGCGACGTCAACAACAAATTAATCCACGCTTTGCTGAAAATCTAGTTTTTAGTGAACTTGCTATTTGATGTTAAAAGAAAAAGTCTCTTACTGAGCTAGGATATTTCCTGAAAAATAATAATATATATAATAAAAATCTGGTGACCAGAAGACATGCCAGCATAATTCTTTGAATATTAGTGGCTATTTGGAATATGTCTCAGGTTACACACACTAGCATGGTAAGTTAAAAAGATTGACATAAAAGCAATGCAACCAGGTTTCTTGGCTGTTTGTTATTAATCACCTTTGGAAAACAAGTGAAAGAAGTAAAAATGATCCTATAATTAAATGTAGCAGGCTTAGGAGACTATAGATCATACCATATATCCAGTTAGGTGGATATTACTAAAGTGGGCAGGAAAAATGGTCATTTTTGAGCAACTTATAAATCTCTTTCCAGTTTATGAAAAGAGGAAATTTACAGATGTCCCCATATGCTATCAATAGTGTTATAGGAATATGTATCAGTAATATGAATCAAAAATTCTTCAAAATAAATAAAAATTTCTCACCACTTCCTTTATGTTCCTTACAGCTTCCTTAAAAGAGAGAAGAAAAAGAATTAGATCTATTATTGCCACAGCATTACTTAGAATGTTTTCTCCCGAGTATAAAGGGACATTTCCATCTCCCATAAAGAAAAGCACTAGAATGGATTCATTTTCATTGTCTGAGTTTTGTAATGAATTATATTAGCATTTCTGCTTTGGTGGTAAACGTACAACCAGAGGTATTCACTGTCATTTATTGTATCTATTGTTGCATCCCAGAGGCGATCATATTTGTATTGTGTCCCTGGAGACTAGGATAGTATCGGGGACATAGTTCTTGTTGAATAAATGCTGTCAAGTGAATTAACGAATACACAAGATAAATTTAGGCAATTCATGGATAAGCTTTTCTTCTTCATTTTAATGGTCATTATTTGTTTTGTTGTGTATTCAGAAAAATACCTCACTAAGCCAATTAACATCTTTTGGAAGTAAATAGCTATTGTTTCTGTGATAAACAGATTGATTTAAGTTAATCAATTTTAAGAAAAATACTCCAATAGGAAAGAATTTAAAAAAGGAAAAAAATGTTAAGTTTGAAGCGTTAAGAATGAAAATGTTTAGTTGGAGACTGAGAATTAATCTAAAGGAAAACTTCTTCATTCCTCATAGGATCTGGGAATCAAATATATTAGCTGCTTCGTGCAAAGATATATTTTCTTCATTTGAATTATTCATAGAATTAAGAGATGAAGATATAATTTGGTCTCATTCTTTAAAGATAATTTTAGTTTTCAAATTTGATTGACTTGAAATGTGCTTTCCAAATCCAGGTTAATTTCAATTCTGTTCGAAGTACTATAATATTTTACTTCACATTATACTACAGATATGAAATGAATATTTACCTCACAAAACGTGGAGCAGATGTCCTCCTGAAAGAAAGCAAAACCAAGAAGGATATAGCATTTACCGAAATGCAGTATTATATTCTTGAGCATGAAGAGATAGAAAATAAAATACTATTTTGTGAACAAAAAGATTACAAAATTAGGGGAAAAGAAGCAAAGGTGATGAACCATTTCAAAGATAATCTGCTTTAACAGTGAGGCTCAAAAATGGCTCACAAATCTTTTCCTTTCATGTTAGTCTGTAGCATTTTGTCAAAACAATAAAAACATCACCATTTTCACAACTATAGTTAAAAATGATACTTATTTGGAATGAATGAGAAAGTGACCCATGTTTTATAGATAAAGATGTGTCATCAATCAAGATGGATAGAGTAATAACTTTACCTTGCTGGGATGAATGGCCACCTTCTTTACCTGCTTTAATTTCTATAAAATAAATAAATTTATTTTATAATTTTTATTAAATGAAGGAAGTTAAAATATATTTAGTTTAAGAATTTAGGACTTACTTGCTGAGAGACGTTGATAGATTCCTTAGAAAAAGAAAGACAATATTATTTATTTACCTAAATTGTATTCATACTAGTTTAGTAAAGTATCAGTCCACAACCATTATCCATTGCGTAAATGACTTACATCTTTACTTGAATTACACAACAAGTTAACCAAAGTTTCATTTCCTTTATTAAATTAACTTATATTTCATATAACTAACTCATTCCACACTGTGCTTTTGGGCTGTGAATAACTGAATCAAAGCTTTCCCAAATATCATCAACAGAGAAGAAAGGAAAGATTTCCCACTTCTTCTGTAAAATTTCCAATTTTCTTTTTCTTTTTTTTTATTATTATCTTTTTTCTTTTGTCATTTTAAGAGATTAAATACATCATAGGAAAACAAGAAAATGCTTAGGTGACGCTGAAATTGTCTGTGGGCCTCTGTTAGGCACCCATGGCCAGGAAGTCATTTGGAAAGTAGCATCTAATAAGGAACAGCATGAATCCTTATTGCAGAAACACAATTGATTGCTGTCACTCTCTCACAAAATGTTCATCATGACTTCTGAACTAATACCATTAATATGAGAGACGTCTAGGAAAAAACGCACAAATTTACTCTTGGTGATTTGAGTGTGTAGGCTTTTGGTCTTTACTCACCCCTATATATTTTTTTTATGATTGTGCTTCCAATTTTCTCTGACTCTGTACCTCTAGACTTACTGGTGATAAAACTATTATAAAAGTGATAGTTCAGGGAATATTATGTTTTTACTAGGTGAAAGGGTTTTATATTTATACTAAAGTATCTTACCTCACTGGAGGAGCCCTGATCCATCTCCTATATAAGAAACAAAAACAAATATAAGCTTCAGTTTTATGGTAGGTTTAAAATGTCAAGCTGTCTCACTGAGTTTTTTTGTTGTTGTTGTTGTTTGTATTTGTTTTCATTTTTGTGGTTTTTGTTCTTGTTTTGGTGGCCGGGGCTTTTAGAATTCTGTTTCTGGGAATGTGTAGGGTTTAGTTGAATTCTTTTCATTATTATTGGAATAGTATAGAAGCTTATAATATTAAAAAGCAAATAATTCTGTACTTCAAATAAATCCTTCTTAATGCTTAATATATTTCTTACTTTTAGAAGTGGTTCTTGGGGTGAAAAGAGTTCCCAGGTACATTCAAACAGATATAGAAGAAAGGGTATGCCATTTAACCTGTAACTAAATGTTGTCCAACCCTACAAGGAAAACACTTAGTAAAAAGTATTTTTTGTCCACCTTGATATCTTGTATAAGGCAGGGCCGGTGCCATCTTTGATTATAAAAGTTCACACACTTAGTCTCTCTTCCCTGCTGCCTACCCTTGCCATTGTCTGCATAAAAGATTCACTCTTCTAATA